TGCAGGAGCCAGGAGCAGGGATCCTGTCCTTGTTGTGTGGCTGGGTACTCCCAGAGTCTGTGAGGCCCAGCCTTCCCAAAGGAAATGAAAATGCAAATATCTTTGGCTAGAAGTGCACAACCAATTTTTTAATAAAGTTATTACAAATATGTACAAAGCGTCTCCAAGGTATGAAATTCCTCTTACAAAAGAGCACAACGTCAGAACCAGCGATGTCAGGACCCAGAACGGAACGTCCCCAAGCTTATTGCCTCTCTGGCTAGGCCAGAGGCCCCACCAAGCTTCTCCAGATACCCCTCCAGCCGTCCCTGCCACGTGCACAGGCTCCTTGGCGCTTATAGTGCAAAAGCCCTTGGGGAGAAGGAACTCGGGAGTTCAGGTTGGAGAAGAGGGTAGGAAGGAGGTAAGAAAAGCTTCTCGTGTCCTAGGAAATAAGTCATACAGGCCCTATTAGCAAATTCTATGCACCTCCCCCGGACCTTATAGAAACCAGGAGCACAGGGGTAGGGCAGGAGTCCATAAAATCCACAACAAAACCAACCAGCCTGTCCTTGAGTGTCCCCAGAGGTGACATTTTCCAGTAGACTTAAGTCAGGCTCCCGGCTCTCAGCAGGGCCAGGTACTGGTGCTCGCCCCCCATTCAGCAGTGCCGTGGAATGACCTCATGAAGGAATCCAGTGGAGCGGAGCAATCAGCTCATGAGCTTAGGGGTCCCATGGACTCGGGTCCAAATCTTGGCTCAGGTACTTCGCTGGTGGTGTGGCCTTCAGCTAAGCTGCTTAACCTCTCTGAGCCTCAGTTTCCTCCACTGTAAAATGGGAATGGTAACAATGCTATATGCTAAAGTGGGCATGAGGCATCACGGAGGGGAAGACGGGTAAAGCACATCACCCTGTGCTTGGGAGTGGCGAGCACGCCATGAAAGGTAACTTTGATTATTGTGTAAAGCAGCAAAGGACCAGTCTGTTCATGCTGGAAATGAGATTGCAGGCTTTTTAACTGCCTTTACCAGATAGCAGGGCTCTCAGTAAATACCATGTGACAATCTGCCAGCAAGGCTTGGGGTCACAGTGGTGACCTGACAAATCTGTTAAACATTGTGAACCAGACTGGAAAGGGATATTTCACATCATCTGTTTTCCAAGCAGGACTGCCCCTCCACCATCCACAAGTCAAGTCTCTTCTGCAATGGAATTCTATAACCCGGCACATTGTAGATGTTCAATAAATAGATGCTAAATGAATGAATGAATGAAAATTTGAAAAATAAATGTACAGTTTAAGCTTTAAAAATCACACTTTGACATCAATTTCCTCCCCTTATGGAAATGCCAATCAGCTCCTATGGGACTAAGCAGAGTGTCTAGCTGGTCACCCAAACCCTAACCAACTTCTGACTTTCAGAAAAGAAATGGGTATTGACACACAACAACAAAATCTGTGTTCTGGTCAATGCAACTTGTAATACCAGGTGGGTACTCAAAAAGTTCACAATGGTGAGCCAGTGTCCCTAAAAGATACTTGTGTAGGAAGTGAGTGGGTGAGGACTCCTCGAATGCCCCAGCAAGGGAGAGTGATATTGTATCACTGTCAGAAACATAATAGGAGAACAGGAGATCAGCTACATACATTGTGAAAACCAGTCACAGTTTCATTTTTCTGTGACAGTATTGTTTAAATCATCCTTTCCCCTCACCATCAAAACAGACAAGAATCAAAATAAGTGGAGGCTGAGCACAGTGGCTCACACCTGTAATCCCATCACTTTGGGAGGCCAAGGCAGGTGGATCACTTGAGGCCAGGGGCTCAAAAACCAGCCTGACCAATATGGGGAAACCCCCATCTCTATTAAAAATACAAAAAATTAGGTTGGCATGGTGGCGGGTGCCTGTAATCCCAGCTACTCGGGAGACTGAGGCAGGAGAATGGGAGGCGAAGGTAGCAGTGAGCTGAGATCGTGCCACTGCACTCCAGCCTGGGTGACAGAGTGAGACTCTGTCTCAAAAAAAAAGAAGAAGAAAAGGAAGTGGAAAAGAAGTCCCCAGTATCCAAATCAAGGCGGTTTTTTAAAAAATTAAAAACAAAACAAGGAAATGGGCTCCAGGAGATGGGCATGGCCTAGGACCATGGACAGCAGCCAGTGGGGCTAGTGGGCTCCCCGGAGAAACTTTCTACTCAAGCTACACCAATAACAAAGAGAATAGGAAACGGACCTCCAAATCAGAAGAGATTGTATCTGTTTGTGGGGGATCGGGTGGGGGTGAGAAGCTTCCAGAAATGACTGGCTCTCATTCGGAGTGTTGAAGTCCTGGGGGCTCCAGTCCCTGAGGTTTCTGGCTCCCCACTCTCTGAGAGCAAGCAGCACCATCAGAAAGGAAGAGGCAAAAGTCTCTTCATCTCATTATGCAGCAAGCTACCTAAACGATGATCTCAGAGGCCTCCCTCTGCTTGTACGGACACACCCACACACACACACACACACACACACACGTACGCACGCACGCGCGCACACACACACTGCTGTCTGCTGAAACCCGATATGAGGTCTTTTTTAAAATTTATTTCAAAGCCTCCCTCCCTTTCTCTCTCTCTTCACAGACGCTCTGCAGTGAAGCTAATCAAAATCAATGACTCCTTGGCAGCCAGAGAAAAGTGGGGGGTTGGGGGAGAGGGAGGGATGTTGCCAGCACTTTGCACACTGTGGAAATATTTTTTAAAAAACAAGAACCACTGCACTATCTCATGCAATCCAAGTAATGCCACAGGAGAGACAGTGGAGACAATATATACATATATATCATGCTTCAATTTCCTAATACAAATGTCCATCAAGAAGTCAAATCTCATATAAAAACAAGCATTAAAAACAACCCCTTGTCAAAAATTGGGGCAGTCGAGAAGTGCACTCCAATGAATGATGTGCAAGAAAAGGCCAGGATTCGATAAATACATGGTCTCTAATAAAACAGGAGAATATCTACAAGGGACTTGGCTGCGAAGCTCTATTAGGAGGTAATGGGTGCCCCGGTTCTCTCAGCAAAGTGGCTTCATTGAAATCAAAATCACCCAAAATGCCAACCATTCGGAGTTTGGATCCTCCAGGGGAAAATATCAAAAGCCAGTAGGCAAGTCGGGGTTGAAAAAGGGATCCTCTCACCTTTCATCTTCTCCTGTGTCAGGGTGGTCAGCATGCCCCCACTACGATCGTGAACGTACAGCCTTAAAGGAGCAGAGAACTGTGATTGGATAGAACTGTGTAGTGATTGAAGCCCCTCCCCAGAAAATGGGGTGAGCTGGAAAGACCCTAGTCTCTGGCTAAGAAAGTGATGAAATAGAAGCAGAGAATATATTATTCTAATGAATTTGCCTTCTCTCAGTTTGTGGCTTGGTGGGAATATTGCCCACTGCTCTCTGCAGCCCCCACCTAAGCCAGGGTCCCCTACAAACATCAACTGGGGGGGAGGACACAAGTGATGAGGAGAAACACGTGCCCCCCAAAATAAGGGTTCTTTTTTTGCTTTGCCGAGTGCAAAGCTGTCAGGTGGGAACCTTCCCTCGCATTCAGCAGCCCTAGGGTTGCTTATTTTTTTAAAGGGCTATTTAGGAAAACATAAGGAATAGATTTTAAAAAGAAGACAGAAAGAAATCCAGCTCCCAGCTTGCAGCAGCACTGAGAGGTTGTACATTCTAAAGGACCTGGTCATTGACAGCAAAGCATATGGGGGGATGATTCCCATTTCAGCCTCATCCACCGTAACAAATGTGGATCCCACTGCTGGCTTCTTAGAACTGGAGAGGTGTCTGCTAACCAGCCTGCTGGACCCTCTGTCTATAGGTACCAGGTGGTGACCTGCAAATCCAGCCTTGGAGAATGACTGTCCGAATCTGCAGACTGCCACCTTGCCACCTCAGCTTTGAAAATGGCAGTGTGTGGTATCTTACACAGAGGAAGAATACCTGCTTATGTTGGATTTTTTTAAATGAAAGCAAAAAATAATCACTGCTCCCTGAAGAGTCTTTACAGCCAAGTCTCTATCCAGCACACATCTATTTTTTTTTAAGCCCTTCTAGAAACTTCTGAAAATAGTAGCTTATCCTTGGGGGGAAAAATCAGACCTCTGTCAATCAGCGAGATGCTGGTGCATTTCATTTCAATGGCCTGATCCCTCTCCCAACGTCCCCTGGTTATAAATCATCTTTGACCAGAATGTAGCCATTTCTTGGCTCTTTAATCCATAAAACCTAAGCCCTGAAACCCCCTTGGGGAGTGGAGGAGGCTGTGGGCTGAACTCGGAGGACACTTTTGTGGGGGTGGGGGAGACAGCAACCGAGTCATGCATGAGGTCAGCTTTCTGTCTCGTAAGCAGCAAGCCTCTCAACGCCATCCTCCCTCCTAGACTCCAAGGTTTGCTCCTAACCACCTCTGGATATTCGTCCCCACACAGAGAAAGAGAAGAGACTCTCAAGTAGCTCTTTTGCAACTTGTCCCTTAAAAAAAAAAAATCCGAAACAGCAAAATAGAAATCTCTCTTGTCCCCTGCTCTTCCAGGTCTGTCAACAAAATACCACAGCAGCACCAGCAGGAACGCACTTAGCACCAGCAAAATTGTAAGTGAAGCACCAGAGACACAAAAATCCCATTTCTCTTGACACGACAGTGGGATCTAGCGATCGACCTAGGACAGTACGGAGGGAGAGGCTAGGACGTGTCAAGAAATGGAGGCATCCCAGACTGCTCCCACACAGCTGGCCCCAGTCCTCACTTTTTTTTTTTCTTTCTATCATGCCTTTTGCACTGTTACCTCTCATTCCACCAGCATCTATCCCCAGGCAGTTGGCCGATGCTGGGGCTAATTCCCACCAGTCTTTGCAAGTAGTTTCTAAGTACACAGCAGGCATCTCTCTTCTGGCGCCCCAGACATTACAGAATCTCAAAGTTCACAACGCAAGGTGCAGAAAAGGAAGGCGACCACGTCCTCAACAAGGCATGCACTGATACGTAATATTCATATTTTCTTTTTTTATATATATATAGAGAGCTGTATGTAAATAGCATTGGGGTGTCTGTTTCTGCAGCTGGATTTCCAAAGGGCTTCCCCAGTCCCATTCTGTGTTTCTACGATCGCTCCAGGCGCTGTCTTTACTCTCCACTTCCTTCTCGAAGTGCCAACCGTGGCCTTTCAAGCTCTGGGCTCCCCCTCTGGAAAACGGGAACCAGCTTTCTCCAACGACGCAGGGTTTTCACCAACCTGCAGAAATAAAGATTGGCATTTTGGTCAGTGCGGACAGCTGCTGGGGGTGACAGCGCAGTGGGCCTCTGCACAGTCAGCCCCGGATGTCGGGGACGGGGGGGGGGGCGGGGGGGAGAGTGGGACGTGGGGGGAGGGGAGCGCGACTGGATGCAAAGCTCTGGTTTTGGAGGAAGGATGCCTCAAAAGCTAGTCTTGGCACTCCTCCCCTTACCGGAGTCTCTGTCTATGTAGCAGCCTTCCCCAAATAGACATTTCTGCATGCACACACACTCCCCTCTCTGCTTTTAGACCTAGATATTTACATAGGCATCTTTGGAGAATTTTTTAAAAAGAAGAATCTAGAGCCGCATGACCTTTTTGCTTCTCTAAATTCAGGACAGGACCTTCCTCTATTCATTTTATAGACCCAGATTCAAAAGAGAGTTGTAAGGCAGTCTCTATTCTCTTTCATTTGTTCATTCATTCATTCATTCATTCATTCCCAAATATACCAAGTGCCATACTAGGGGCTACAGATTCAGTGATGTAATTCTCGCCCTTGAGGGGCTCAGAGCCAACAGGGAGATGGGAAGAATCGGATAATGATAGTCCCATGTAAAGAGCATATGCAATCCTGGGAAAACGTGATCTATGGATGCCCAGGGCAGGCAGCTCATCAGGGTGACAGAGAAGACTCCTCAACAAGAGCGGCAGGCCACTGCTACTGAAGAGTGCCAGGAAACTAACCAGGATAAGAAAATGAGGCATCCCAGGCAGGGCAGAAAAACCAGTCCGTATCCAAGAGCGTCTAAAGCAGAAGGCACAACATGTGTGCACAAACGCTCATGGCAGAATTACCCATAATAGCAAAATGTGGAAACACCCCAAATGTCCATCAACTGATGAATAAGCAAAATGTGGTCTATTCATACAATGGACTATTATTCAGCCATAAAAAAAGGAATGAAGTATTAATACTTGAAGACAGATAAACCTTGAAGACATCATGCTAAGTCAAAGAAGCCAGACACAAAAGGACACATACTGTGTGATTCCGTTTATACGAAATGTCCACAATAAGCAGATCTTCTGAGACAGAAAGGAGAATGGGAGTTACCTAGGGCTGAGGCTGATGGAAGGAATCAGGAAGTCACTGCTCATGGGCACAGGGTTTCTTTTAGGGAAACAAAAATATTCCAAAGTTGACTGTGAAGATTGCTGCACAATTCTATGAATATACACATCATCACTGACTTGTACACCTTAAAAGGGTAGCTGCTTTTTTGTTTGTTTGTTTGTTTTTGAGACAAGGTCTTGTTCTGTTGCCCAGGCTGGAGTGCAGTGGTGTGACCTCAGCTCACTGCAACCTCTACCTCCTGGGGTTCAAGCGACTCTCCTGCCTCAGCCTCCCAAGTAGTTGAGATTACAGGTACACACCACCATGCCTGGCTAATTTTTGTATTTTTAGCAGAGACTGGGTTTCACCATGTTGACCAGACTGCCCTTGAACTCCTGACTGCAGGTGATCCACTTGTGCTCCCAAAGTGCTGGGATTACAGGTGTGAGCCACTGTGCCCAGCCTTAAAATGGTAGGTTTTATAGCTATAAGTTAGCGGGGGAGATAAGAACGTTTCACATGTGAATCTGAAGCAGGTGGCATAAGAATGACCACGTGAGTAATAAACACCAAGTGGTGTAGGAGAGAAAGTGGGAGGAAGAGCACTTTATGACTTCTGGGTCTGAAAAAGTCTGAGATGTTGACTCGCATGAACTGTACCAGCTGGTACTCTTGACTTCTGGCTTCCTTCTGGGTTTGACCAACAGGAGGCACTCATGGGAAAGTAAGATTGGGTGTCTGTCCCCAGCTCCCCTCCCCCTAGTCAGAGGTTGGCACAGCCGCTGCCTGGACTCTGGTACAGTGACACCCTCCGAGGGACTCCAGGTACCATTCCTTTCCCTGGCACCGGGCCAGGGGGATAACAGCTCCTCTCTATGGCCAAACCTGGGGTACTGCATTCATTCTCGCTGGTTTCCAAAACCCTGCCCACGCCTTTCCCATTGAACCTTTCTTAAATTCTCCTCTGATTACTGAGTCTAGAAATACTCTCTGCCTCTTCCTTGGCCCCTAACTGATACATCTGACTGCATGAAAGAGATGAGTCACAAACACATGGACCCCAGTCTACGTCAGCTGACAGTCACAAGGACCCAAATCAGTGACTTCAGACCTTTCGCTTTCTTTCTTTCTTTTTTTTTTTTTTTTTGAGACGGAGTTTCGCTCTTGTTACCCAGGCTGGAGAGCAATGGCGCGATCTCGGCTCACCGCAACCTCCGCCTCCTGGGTTCAGGCAATTCTCCTGCCTCAGCCTCCTAAGTAGCTGGGATTACAGGCACGCACCACCACGCCCAGCTGGTTTTTTGTATTTTTAGTAGAGACAGGGTTTCACCATGTTGGCCAGGATGGTCTCGATCTCTCGACCTCGTGATCCACCCGCCTCGGCCTCCCAAAGTGCTGGGATTACAGGCTTGAGCCACCGCGCCCGGCCTTGCTTTTTTTTTTTTTTTTTTTTTTTTTTAAGAAACTAGGTCTCGCTCTGCCACCATGCCATCATAGTTCACTGCAGCCTCGACCTCCTGAGCTCAAGCGATCCTTCCACCTCAGCCTCTAGCTGGGACTACAAGCACGCACCACCACATCTGGCTAATTTTTTATTTTTATTTTTTATTTTAGAGACAGGGTCTTGCTACATTGCCCAGGCTGGCCTCAAACTCCTGGCCTCAAGCCATCCTCCCACCTTGGCCTCCCAAAGTGCTAGGATTACAGGCATGAGCCACCATGCCAAGTCCATTCCCCTTCTACCTCATGAGGGCACAAACACAGTAGGAGTTCCGCATTGTTGTGTATCATATATTTTCATAGAATATGGAATTAGAGTCATCAATCAACTCAATGGATAAATACACTGAATTGAGTTTATGAAACCAGCTTGTGCAACCCCTAAACATCGCCATTGGTGTCTAGCCATAAATTGACAGAATGCAAGTGAGCGGAGCCCTGCAGCATCAGCCTAAAATAATTATGCTGCCTTAAGCACAGGTGAGACGGAAGGAGAGAAAACAACAGGTATTAAGTCCCTACTATGTTATTGAGTGTGTGAACTTCATGCTAAGCTTGGTTATCTGCACCAGACAAGGCCAGGTGCCTGCTTCAAATTTGCCTCCAGGCTTATTGGGAAGATATGCCATGCCAGAGGTCAGGACTGTAAATGACTCACGTTTGGAAGTGAACTGATGGCTCAGAAGTCAGGATGGGGTTACAATCACCAGGGAAGTTTCAGAGTGGACCCAGGATTTGATCGAGGCCTTGAAAACACACACACACACACACACACACACACACACACACACACACACAATTTTTTCCATATTTGGAAAAAGGAAGCGTAGCTTAGGTGGGGAAAGGGACTACACCAGACCAAGGACAGCGATAAGCATGTCTCAAACAGCAAAGCATGATGAGCAGGGAACTGTATCAGAAAGCTGTAGGAATTGAGGTCAGGTGCTATGGCTCATGCCTGTAATCCCAGCACTTTGGGAGGCTGAGGAGAGAGGATTGCATAAGTCCAGGAATTTGAGGCTGCAGTGGGATATATTTTTTATACATAGGATTTTTTTTTTCTTTTACAAGCAGCAAGTAGTAATTTTGCCATTTAAAACTATTTTTAAAACATCAAGTCCGTCCACCCTTGTGAGCCACTGCCCTGCGCTTGGGATGTGTTCCTTCAAACTTGGTTCATAAAGAATGTTCTCAGATGCTAACTCACAGCTAAAGCGCACGGCTGGAGTGAATTCATGAAATACCTTTGAAAAACGTGTCCCTGTTTCCATTCTTCATCCACCTTGTGGAGGGGGTAGGCAGGCAGAGAGGGTGAACCTGAACCCTAAGGTCCTGCCTCCCTGGGCTGTAGTGACGCTGTGCTGCTTTGGGCACGGCAAGTGAAAGCTGAGAACCATGAATGCCACTGCAGCATTAGATGAGACAAGAGGCTGATTCCCTTTTTCCGATGTCAGCGAAGAATTAGGACTCTTGGATTCCCTACTAAGAGGCCCAAATTTTGAATTAAAAAAAAAAATACCTTGGCAGGGCATAGTGGCTCTTGCCTGTAATTCCAGCACTTTGGGAAGCCAAGGAGGCCAGAAGTTAGAGACCAGCCTAGGCAACATGGCAAAACCTCATATCTACTAAAAATACAAAAATTAGCCAGGCCTGGTGGTGCATACCTGTAATCCAGCCTCAGGAGGCTGAGGCACAAGCATCTCTTGAACCCAGGAAGTGGAGATTGCAGTGAGCTGAGATCATGCCACTGCATTTCCATCCTGGGCAACAGAGCGAGACCCTGTCTCAAATGATAAGTAAATAATAAATAAAATATTTTTAAATGCCTGTTTTGTTCCTGCTGTTTGCACAAGTGAGAAGTTACAAATTCAAACAGCAGAGAAGAACACACAAATAAAAGAAAAGCCCCCTTCAACCTAACCCCTAAGCCCCCCTCTGCTTCCCAGAGGCATTCAGTTGTGTCGCCTCCCAGAGTATTTTCTGTGCATTTGTACATGCCATGTCTCTTTTTTATTATGTCCCCAGAGCCCAACACAATGCCTGGCACATAGTAGGTGCTCAATTCATTATGTGTTGAGTGAGAGTAAGTCAAAGTGACAAATGAATAATAATGACAGGCTGGGTGTGGTGGCTCACACCTGTAATCACAGCACTTTGGGAGGCAAAGGCAGGTGGATCACTTGAGGTCAGGAGTTCGAGACCAGCTTGGCCAACATGATGAAACCCCGTCTCTTCTAAAAATACAAAAATTAGCCAGGTGTAGGTGTAATTAACCAGGTGTAATCCCAATTACTTGGGAGGCTGAGGCAGGAGAATCGCTTAAACCCAGGAGGCAGAGGTTACAGTGAACTGAGGTCGCACCACTGCACTGTAGCCTACGAGACAGAGTGAGACTCCATCT